CGTTTGATTGAGAGAGAAACAAAGGGAACACCATGGGACGTTGCGATCTAGCACCGGCACTAGCCGCATTTGTAAAGGGAAGAACGCAATAGATTAGGAATGAGATCGTCGCGCCGATTGACGAGATCGACGCCAGAGCCATCTAATCACCGGGGGCAAGTTCTCCGATATGACCGTATCGCCGGAGAAAATGCGAGTGGGGAATTGAAAAAGAAGTCGAGGAGTGAAATCGTTAGATCTACGAAAAATCAAAGTCGCTTTTTTGCTTTGAGACAAAACCCAGCAACGAACAAATCCCGTCTAAACGCAGAAACGACGTAGTTTTAGCGCCGCTTTTTGTTGTTTTTACCTTTTTAACATCGCTGTAGAAGTGTCTGGGAATTGGGGGTATTCGGCCCAACCCGATTGGAGACCGAACCGACCGGTATAAGTACTTTGTAAACTTCGGTAACGGGTTTGATTCGATGGTTTCCAAATTTCTATTTTAAACAAATTTCAACCAAGATAATCGAATGACCGAAATAGCCGAGATTCCAAAAATCTTTTACCAAAATTCGTTTAAAATCAAAAAAAAAAACCGAAGGAGCTCACGTTGATGTTAATGATCGATCACCCGGAAGACTGGCCACGATCCGGGTCCGAGTCAGATTTTTTATGATCCGAGTATAATTGAGAGAATTTTTTATTAAAAATTCTAATTTTAGTGGGTAAAGGTTGAATTTTTTTACCCATATAAATAAATGGGTTTTGGTGGGTTATAGGTTTATAACCCTATTAGGGTTATAGGTTTAATGGATAAACCCATTAGGGTAGTGGGTAATCCACAGATTTATCATAAAAATAAAAAACTAATATATATTAGAGTACTTTAAAATATTAGAGTTTCCTAAACATGTTCTAAGCTTTACTTTGTACAAATATTGGAGTCAGCTATATGTCAAAGTTTTACTTTGTACAAAATCTTGATTATTTAGTCTTACAACTGATGAAAGAGATACATTTATCATTTATATTTATTGATTTTAATACTAACTATTACTATTATCTCAATTGATGATATACTTTTCTTCTTATTTGTAGACAATGAAACTGATGATGATGGCGACGAAGCATATGCATCCAAGGAAGCAGATGAACCCAACAAAGAAAGTGTTTTTTAAAATTAGTCTTGGTTGTATGGTTTTATTGATTTTATTGGTTTTACGGCTTTGTGGTTTTTATTTATCTTAACATACGAAGATATTTTAATTTAGTTTGTTACTTGCAAGTTGAAAACTTTTGTTTATTTATAATAATATGAAATTGTGTTATTTTCTTAATTAGTTTATGATGATATTTAATTTGTATTTAGGTATCCATATAACTCATCTAACCAACATATTTAATGTTGTTGGATTTGGGTACGTAAATTCAACTCATATAATAAATGGGTCGAGTCAAACTCATCCATTAAAATCTCAAACCTATGTGGATTTGGATCAAGTTGAATCGGGTTATTCATTTTTACACCTCTGGATTGAATACACCTCTTAGCTAAACTAGGAAATGTGTTTGTGACAAAAACAAAAAGTGAAAAAATTTGATCATTCCTAATCGAACACAACAGAACCATATTTTCGGTTTTGCAACACACTTTTATCAAACCAAAGAACAAAAGGAACCGAACCAAACTAGCTGAACCAACTGATTGTTAAGAGTTTTTTTTTTATTGACTTTTCGATTCGGTTTAAATAAGAATTGGAATTTTTTTTTTTTGAATTACAATTCGAATTTGATAGAACAATAAATCATATGAAAAATATAGTTTGATTTTTGGATCGATTATTTCAGTTCAGTTTTGATTTGTTTAATTAGATTGCAATGAACAAAAAAACAATTCCTACAGTTTATATGATAAACTTCTACAGTTTATATGATCGATTATTTTTTGTTGTTATCTTATATTTTCGTTGATTTTGACACTGTACTATATGTCGCAAGCTATGTTACTTACAAGGTCTCTCTAATCATGGTTTAAGTCTAGAAGAAAGTCAAGTTCAACATATATTTTGAGCTACTTGTTATAGTTTATCGATGATCATCAACACCC